GATCTTTCTTCTTTATAAGAGATTATAAAGTATTAAGGGCATTTATTATGTGCATAATTATATGTCTTAATATTTGAATAAAACTTTAAAGACCAATATTAATATTACATACCCGTCGTTATTCTACGATTATCACAACGATTATCTCGATTATTTCATAGTTTGATTGGATGATTAGCAAATAAAATTACCTAATTACATCTGGAAATTGTGTATTGTTTAGTACATCATATGTAGTAATTAGATTCTCTAAAAAAATGCTTGATTAAGTTTGTATAATAATACTGTTGTTATCATTATTTCATTATAAAATCTAGCGCCATAATATACCAATCTAGTACACATTCCCACATTCCTGGTTTCGCACAACTCGTTGCACAGCTACTTATTATCTAACTCTAATACAGCAGGTTAGAATTTTGTTTTGTGTAATTTGGATAACCCAAATTTATCACATGCATCGGGTATATATTTATATGTAGGTGAACCCTGTTATAGCGCTTATTCCTGTATTCTAAGTTTATAGATGTGTTGTCAAATTATTACAGTAACAAATATATCAATTTCGTGTCAAATGAATGCAGTGCCAAATATAGTAATAACATGTAATAATATTACACGTTAAAATCTCATCGTGCAAAGAAAACATGTGATTGATGTGTTAAATTATCGTAAAGCCAAGTCATTTACATATTTATTCTTTTATATAGCATATTCAATTTTAGCTTTGCTGGCATAACATGCCAATTATTATATATGATGCATGTCAAGCCGTTATATGATAAACTACATAAAAATAAATCATAATTCCTAATAAAAAGGCCTACAAATTTCTGTTTGTTTTCAACAGAACGTCTAAATATTCTTTCATAACAATAACAATTGCTTACTCGTATCATTATTATGTTGTCGCAAAACACTTCAATTATTTTATCAAAGTCCTCCAAGAGAAATTTACGTAAAAAATTATGTGCCATAAAAAAAGCCAAAATTGAAAAGCCAAATAATTCAATCATTGGGGAGGATAATTCCACGTTTAATTCTAGTATTAGCCAGATCAAAGAAAGAACAAATATATTTTATGATCCATTAAAAGTATGTAACAAATTACAATATTTTTTTTTATTGTCAAGGCCGTGATTGCAAAATTATTATTGTCTTTTAATGAGGGGAGGAAGCTTCCCATGGTTTAATTTACTGAGTTATCGGATAAGAAGTAGTTTGTGTATTTTGTATATCTAATATAGATATATATGTAACCCATTTAGTGTTCACGTATTAATTAGATTTTTTTTTAAAGCACAAAACGCAAATAGAAACACGCAAATCTACGAAAGAAGAAACCCGTAATTATATTCGAACACAGTGGGTTTCTGAGGACTTCGATACTGAAAATCTTAAATCATCCAATACATTCCAGCCCTTCACATTAGTCAGTCCGGAGTCCACATTTATCGAGAAACTCTTAGAAGAAAGATATCAAAGACGAATTGTTAGTAAACAACTTTCTATTGATAATAATGTCTCTTCGATACCTGCTCAATATTTAATGTTATTGGAATCAGAGATTTTTCATGTAACATATACTTCAGATTCAACACCCTCAGAATTGTGGAATGAATTTGGACAGTGGGCAGGTTTTGATAAGGTTTCTGAATTTAGAAAAAAATTTCGCCACCATTGTCGCCGTATATGGACCAAAATTAACCATGCGTATAATTTGCAAGTAGAGGCTCAAAAAAATCCTCTAGAGCTTCATATTATCCTGGAGGTATTACAATGACATCCAAACGATAAACTTATTATTGCAGATGAAACAACAAAGAAAGTTGCAGGTGGTGTTCATCTTGTTGGCTACAAATATATTTCTAAACCACAATGTTTTAAAAATGCTGTCGGTGAAACACTAGTAGATTTCTTCGATCTTACTAACTCTTTAGCTACTGAGACTGCACAGAATATAGTAGATCAATATTATAATCATACTCTTAGCAATCCATCTCATCAATCTAACCAATTTGTTAAGGATCTAATAGAGCATTTTGGTTGTTTCACTGATAGCAACAATGAGCCATATGTCACCGCAAACACTGCATCTACGCATTGTGAAGAGCATCGGAAGTGTGTTCAAGGGTTGATTCAAGAGCTTCAGCCAATTTCTGATGATGTTAATAACTACTTTGGTATTACTTATCCAACTCTGTATACCAAAATGAAAAAACTCAATCTTGGTTCTAATGTTCCCAAATCTTTTGGGATTTTTCCTACAGTTGGCATTAACTTTAATTCTATCTGCCAATTTCACTGGGACATGAAAGATCATCGAAATACTCTCTGTGTTGTCTGTCCACTTGGGAAATTTGAAGGTGGAGAACTAACATTTCCCGAATTAAAGTTAGCCATTAAAGCGAAGCAGGGACAAGCAATAGCTTTCTGGTTACACCTTTTAGTTCATGGAAACCTTCCAATTATTTTTGGTATTAGACATAGTATTGTTTTTTACATCCATGAAACTGTCATAAAGCAAAGACGGAAATTTGCTTCTCTTTTTGATGATTGTGATTTGAGCCTAGAAGAGAATAGTAATAAAAAAAAAAAGAAATTACAAAAATATGTTTCTCCAAAATTAGGTTCTCAAAACTCGGGGGTTAAATTAAAAAACCACCGACGTAGTCATCTAGGTAAGCATATCATTAATTGCATATCAATTAAATATGATGAACTCTAATACTATTATTTGTTTCAATTTAAGATCTTGAACCTGCGAGGAAAGGTTTACCAGCAAAATACAAAAAATAATATTTATCGTTTCGAATTTGGGATCAAATGATGCCTATTATACTATTAATAAAATTTACTTATCATATTATATCATATCTTTATTGTTGTGCATATAAATCTGTAAATGAATTTATCCGATACCCTACTATGATCGGGACTATCAAATAACTCCAGTTATTTGATAATATATTGTACATAAAATAGTCACTGTGACTGACTTTAAAACATCATTAAAAAATTTTATATGCAAATCAACCAATTTATTTATTTATTTATTTTTTACGTTATTACATTGTAATTATATAAATTAATGCTTTCTACGTTTTTTAATAATCTTTACATACTTCGCATTAATATTATAGTAATTTTTAATGCCTGTATTACTATTTTTCAACTCCGGCACTTGGTCATTTGTTCTTTTCAAAATCTCTGGTCCTGAAAGCGATTGATCTATATGTGTTAGTCCTGAATACAATGGCCCTGATGTTCCTGAATGTGATGGTTCTGATATTTCTGAATGCGATGGTCCTGAACAAGATGGTCCTGAACTGGTCCTTATCTGTAATAGATTCAACTCCATAATCATAACCAACGTCAGACCGCCAGACTTCTAAAATTCTGACCCACTTTGCTGTTGCATTTTGTGTATTTGCAGGGATCGTACCATTAATAATTTCATTAATTTTATCGCTTGTTGGCTTGTGATATTTGGTTTTATTAATGTTTGTCATTTTTTTTTTAGTATAAGCAAATGAAACTCGAGAGCAAAAGAAAGAAAAATTCAAGCATAAAAAAAAAAAATCTATATATATGTATGTAAAATTTAATTTACGTCATTAATTAAAGTTTAAGTTTCATAATGAGTGAACCCGATCGTTGTAGGGTATCGGATAATACCATTATTGAATGCTCTGCACCAATAACTAACGTATCTGGCGGAGAATTTGATCGTGAGATGGCTGGGCCTCGAAGGGGCCCAGACATCTCATGACCAAATTCTCCGCCAGATACTTCACGTTATCGTATGGGTCTTATGTAACTTTTTTTGAAAGCTTATTCGCATGAGTTGTTTTTGCAACTTTTGACCGGGTGAAGAATTATATATCAAAATATACTAAAATTTTGTATTGTAAAACTTGTACTTAAGCAAAATGTTATATATTTGTAAATTGCTTCTAATTTCATTATAATTTTAATTACATTGATTATTTTTTAATAAAAAAAAAAATAATAAAAAATAAACAATTTAAAAAATTATTTATTTTGAAGAGAAATCTTCAAGCTAATATCTAGGCGTTTCTCAGTGTCTAGAATCTGAATATGTTATTCGTTATTGGCTGCAACGTTTTTCGTTCTTTATTGACAGTTGACGCCAGCACTTGTTCGTTTTCGTGGTGTTCAAATATACGCTTGTTATGGTAATCAAGTTTTACTTGCAATGCCTAGTCTGTTTTTGCTTGCGATGTTTGGTCTTGGTGGTGGTCGTGCTAAGCCTGCGATGATTGATTCTGATGATGAAGCTGTGCCTTTTTATGATTGATTACTGGGCTTTTAAATGACATAAAAAGTTTTAAAATTGAATTTATTTTATTTTAATTTTTTTCTTTTAAAATGTTTATCTAAAAAGAAAAAAAACCAGTAAATAAATTAAAATCTAATGATTTATACAAAAATAAAATAAAATAAATAAATAAAAAAACTTACTAAAAATAATTGGGTTTACAGGTTCTTGCCTTGACTGTTCAGAAGTAGTTGATCTGACAAATTTGAAACCTCCATTACTACAATATCTAAAATATAAGAAAAAATGTAAATTGTTAATATCATTTTTTTAACATCAAAACTAACCTGTTTCATTATCATAAGAATTCCTCATGAAAGAATAATAAGATTCGAAGTCTTAATTATAAGAAGTATATGGAATGAGTAGTGTCGTAGATGATAACCGTTGGTTGTCTGTAGGGCTACTATAAGCCTGAATGCCTTCACGCGAACCATGCCCTGAAAATATCATAGTTTCGTCTTCGAAAACGTCAAAAGCCTTCAACATCATTATTGCAGTACGATGACCATTATGATTCTTATTTTTCTTTCATCAAGTTTGATTCCAGTATTGATTACTATCTGGTGCATCATTGATTTCAGCTTGTTCTCATCCATCCGGGAATCCTTATACCATTTTTGATTTCTAAAAAAAAATAAAATTGAAAATATTAGAATTTATTCTTCAAATACCAAATACAATAACAAAATCCATAATTGTCTGTATGTTTCCTTGTGCATTGTAAAAATAAAGCCCCGGATTCACAATTAGCAGGACGCTTTGATAAATAAGAAAGATCCTTGACGGGTGTAAACTGATTAGCAATACGATCAGGTGTATTGGGATAAATCGTGATTCAGTATGACCATAACGTTGTCGATAGAGCATCCCGCCTTGATTGTTTTTTTCTCTACAGAATCTTAGTTGAAGACCACCATCGCTTCTTCTTTCAAGATCATGATATTCTAATATATATGTATCGCCTTCTATTATCCACATAACAACGATAACCAAAAGAAAACTCTCCTATTTAAACCTTCATTATCTTCAATTGATAAATAACTATGGTTCAAACAAGATATGATCTCATCTGATGTTAACGAATCACTCTTCGATGTATTGCCGTAACCATCGTTTTGCAAAGACTTCATCTTCCTATCCAAACATCTAAGCGCCCTAGAAAAAAAATACTTATCCCAGATTCGGACACCATCCTCAACAGCAGAATTTTCACGCAAATATCTTGCCAACACAGATAGCAATTATGGATAGATTCAACCTTAAATGGCATACCGTCTTTTTTGTGAGCCAACCAAGAAACGACGCTAAGAATATATCAAGCTTCCCTTTGTCATCAAACTGGTTCAGTGTTTTTGAAATCTTCTTTTCATCCCTATACCGATACACATTGAGTAACCACTTTGAGGTATTCCTTTCAGTATCTGCAACCAGGCCTACCGAAAAATTAATTGCAATTAATTTTTGTTATACGTCATACAATTAAAATCAGTTAAAATTATCATGAAATTAATTGAAACCCAATTAGTGATGAAATAATTGCAATTAATTGCAATTAAATTCAATTTTCTTTCATTATACTACATAGATCACTGCATACAGTTCCTGACGTGACTCAATATTTAAATAACAAAAATTAAAAACCACATGCATTTTTACAATCTGGCGATGAATATATAATACATAGGCTAATTATGTAAAAATTGCAATTAATTGACTCATTGTGACTGTGTCATCAATCAATTAATTTCCCACACAATCAATTATTCGGTAGGCCTGTTTGCAACAAATGAGAGATTTATTAAGCATTGGGCTTCAGGATCGTCAACCGTGAGATTGCTGTTTGGCATTTTGAAAAGAACTGTTGGATTAGTAAACGTTTGACGAACAAAAAAAAAAAAAGAAATTGCTTTAAATTGTAACACAAAAAAAGTTTAATTTATTAAATTGTGAAGTCGTCAGACCCATACTACAACAACTATAATGTTGATCAAACATCCAACATTAATAGAATATCGAAAATTGTAACAAATATTTATGGCTTATCAACTAACCGCCCCTTGAAAACAAACAGATAATCGAGGCCATCAACTATTGGGGTGGTCTAATTACAAGATGATATAGTGTTTGATCACTAATTAAGATTTTATATAGTAAAATTTTATAGTTGGCCTGCATTATGATTGTAAATCATATGTTAGAAGACACCCTGGTAAGCCATAACATATTTTAATTAGTAAGATAAAATTCTGACGTTGTTAAAATATAAAGACATCTTTCATTAAATATTTTGTTTATGTAAAATTAAAAATGTTAAATATTACGTAAGGAATTAACGGCGTAATAAATTCTAATTTTTTATAATTATTGATTAATTTAGCAGATTCACTACGTATATAAAATCTTAATAATGATCATCTGCACTATGTTTGTAATTAGACAGATGATACGTTAGGGTGTTCGATGTACTATGTAAATCAAA